GGGGAGGAAGGGTGTTCTGGGTCAATCATTTTTTGTTTTCACTGTTGTATTGGGATTGTTTTATAGACAGATTTGCCATTGTCAGGTTACTTTTTTCATAACTTTTAACAGACCTGTGCTTGCAATCTGTGCTTTGAGATGCTGGTAAAGAGGATTTATTGTCCACTGATTTTTATTATGGTTACAATGTGCATAGTATATTACAATTTTTTTTAGGTATTAATAATTGGCTTGTTTTTAACTGCTTGTACTTATTTTTAGAAGGTTTTTTTATTATTTTGTACCTATTTGTAATTTGATGGTTGATAATTGATTTAGTCATTTCTATCTCTGTTATTGGKTATTAAAGCGGTTATTATTGAGGTTTTTTTGGAGCAGTTCATTTAGCTTGGCAATTTACAAATTTTTTTTTCTTTTTTGGCGGGGCAGCACTACTTCTTGAGTGCTTGAGTGTTTTTCATAATGTATAACTGCTACTTGTGATGGGAGTTTTACTGTTTTCAGAAGTTTGAGGACATCAGTTGCATGTTCAACTAATTTTTTGTGTTGCTGTTAACACTTCGCRTATTTTTAAATTGTGCTATACAATGGATATCCCATGAGCATATTTGGAGTTTGTCTAAATACTGATGATTTCTTCTTTTAGCTAGCTCTAATGCTTGGGTTACATCTATCAGTTCTGCTTTTTGAATTGAATTTTTTGCAGGTAATGAATTTSATTTAATTATTTCAGAGATAGTGGTCACAGAATATTTAGTTTTCTACAGTTTTTGGCTTAGGAAATTGCTGCCATTCGTGAACTAGTTGTCAGCATGTGGAAACTTTTTTTTTTTTTTTCTCATCTGCACATCTGGAGTACACAGCTTCAATGGTTTTTAGGCATCGTGTACTACTGGTTCAGCTTCTGAGTTTTTTGGCAGAAAATAAGCAGGGTTAACACTGTTAGTTACTTGGATGTCGATGTCATTACATTTGGCTACAATTGCTTGGTAGTTTAGGAATCTCGAGGGAGATAGCTAGTGATTTTCCTTTTCCTCTAGGACAGCTGATACCGTGTGTCTGTTTTAACGTGAGTTTTTTTGGTTTTTTGATGTGGATTATAACTGCTGCAACTACTTCAAAATATGCAGGCCACCCCTTGCTTATGCTGTCGAGTTGCTTGGAAAAATATGACACTGCTTTCTTATACGGGCCTGACAGCTGTGCTAAGACTCGGAGAGCTATTATCTGTTTCTTTAATGTGAAAATAGCTATAAAGGCTTACTTATGTCCAGTACTTTGAGGGCTGGGGTTTTCATAAGATTATTCTTATTCTGATGCAAGAGAGAGAGAGAGAGAGAGAGAGAGAGAGAGAGAGAGAGAGAGAGAGAGAGAGAGCACAGTGGAATGGACTCTGAAATCCCAGAAGGGCAATGGCAGGTGTACTTTAATTTCTACTAAAATATCACAGGGTCATTTTGAGGTTTTTTTCTCCAAAACTATCTGTGAAAATTCCATGTGGTTTTGCGGGGCTTTTTTTTTACATTGTCTGTTAAAATTGTGTCTTCCTCATTGATACAAGCCATGGCTTTTTCATACCSTTTTTTTTATAGGTGCAAGAGTTTAGATTTTAACGTATCTAAAATAATTAAAATGCACTTGTGATACTCTTGTTCAGAGCTAAATATCAGGTATTTCCATGCCCACGTACAGTGGTGGGCATAGTGACGATAGTAATGTTAGACCTTGCTTACTGCATAAATACCTGCCAATTCTAAGCAAAGACAGTTGGGTTAGGAGGAAAATCCCCCTCCCCTCCAGCACTGCAATAAACAAATACCTGCCCTGTAGTCACCGGTGTATGGGGTTTTATTTCTAGGCCTTTYTCAGGCATCAATATATTGTGTGATAGATATTGTTTTCTGTATTATGTATATGATTTCTGAATTAATTATTATTATATATTATGTATTAAAAATAATTGATACATTATTGTACTTAATATTACATTGATTACATATTTTTTCTATATTATATATAACTGAAATACTTCCATGCTTAATAACAGCTATTATATTCTTGTATATGTTGTACATATTTTTCTGCGTATATTATTGTACATTATATACATTTTATAAACCCAGTATCATATGTAATGATTATTGCTGTAAAAAAAAATTTACAATAATATTAAATCAATTAAGTAATGTACTTGGCTTTGGCATCAGTATCCATAAGGCACTATGGATTGAGAATAAATGTCTGGTCATAAAGGTGACATGTCCTCAGTAGTAGGAAAAGGTAGCTTTTGCTCACTTTTGGTAATTACAGAACATGACCAAGCTTCTTAAGGGCCAATGAATGAAAATTTATTTATTCCTGTCAATTATCCTCAAAAAGCGCAGTGATGCCTCAGGTGCTGATCCAGAGACAGCTGTTTAATTGCTAATCAAAACATAATTGGTGAGTTTGCAAAAGCTACAGTATTAGTAATGTTTACAATTTTCACCCACCTGCATTATCAATTCTACATTACAATTTGCTTTTCTCAACAGTAGCCAAGAATGTGGTATTCCTCCTCCATGTACACTGTTAACACTCCCTTTGTTTTCCCAATACTCAGACATACACAACGATTGGCTGCATTTCAGATTCAGGGCTTGTGGGGCCACTTTCTTCTCACACAGGTCCCATTTCTTGTTCTGAACCAAAAATGCTGTGTTTATGGGCCTCTGCAGGGCCCTTTGCAGAAAAGACAGCAAACACGGCTCCAACAACAGCAGTAACAATATCACAAGCAAGATGACTCCACTCATCCTCACCGTATCCCTGARCCACCCTGAGAAGCCCCATTTGCCAAACACAATACACGCAGAGCCTTGGGAGTAGAGTTTAGCATTCCATTTGATTCTGTGACTCAGTTCTGASGGACTTAGTGAAGAGTATCTCCTCAAATGTCTGGGTACAGAAATCTGCCTTTCGAGTGGGGTAAGTGCAAGAAAAAGGAATGCTAAAAATAAAACCTTAAAAGCTTAACAGCTGATTCAGCTTTTAAGTGTCATCTTTCAGGAAGTGAATTTGTGTTTTTGCCAAGTGAAGCGTACCTGTCTGATCCGTCAGGTTCCGTATCATGATGCGGTTGAGGGATTCGGAGGATTTGTTTGGTTTTCGTTGGAAAAGCCATACGGCTCAGATGGTGCATGGTTTCTCCTGTGTATTCGGTGTGCTCTTCTTGTCCAGGTAAGAGCGACTGTTTGGATGACCTGAAAAATGTGTGCATATTTCTCTTAAATGCTTCTTGCACCCCTCCTTTCTTCTTATTGGAGGACATGAGTATGAGAAGCATAGAAGACAATCGCAAGGCTTATATGTAAGCTTTTAAAACATGTAAAATTATCAAATTTATTTGTATTCTTTAGGAAGGCAAAGCACACGCTTCAACAGTGCTTTTGAGCCATCTTTTTTTTTTTTTTTTTTTTTTTTGTGTTTTTTTTTTTTTTTTTTTTTTTTTTTGTTGTTGGAGGACACTAGAATGAGAACTGCAGAAGAGAACCATAAGGCCTATCTGTAAGCTTTTAAAGTATGTGAAATTACAACTCACTTGGTTCTACAGTGCTTTTAAGCTTGATTTTGACTCTTCCGAGGAAACCTTCATTCTCTTTTATGTTCATCGGCAAGGTTTTGCACGGTATGTGCAGCTACAGCTCCTTAGTGATTTCTTTAATACATCAGAAATACATAGAAATCCCAAAACCTGTGCAGGGGCCAGATGGCACAAAGAGGCGTTTGTGCCAAGGCATGAGGAAGCGGGGACACCCACGCCCAGTGCCACGTATTCCGACAGGGGCAGCTGTCCTGCCATCGCGACGCTCTCGGGGGACAGCGCCAGASACGGGGGCTCTGTGGCACCGCGCGAGCCGGCAGCAGCTGCGGGGCCGTGAGGGACAGAAGGGGCTATTGGCCGCAGTCTCCAGCAGCTCCGTCCTCCCCGCCGAGGGTCCCTCCCCGACGTCCTGAACCTGCCTCCCACCGGCTGGAGCGGTTCGAAGCACGGCCGGCCCCTTGACACCCTCCAAGAACGTCGCAGGGACCCTTCGGGACCCCCAGGAATCCCCGGGCAGTCCCCTCTCCGCTCCTCAGGCTCACAGCCAGTCCGTCCTGCTCTGCCGGCAAACAACCTGTTTGCTCTGGATAAAGGTTTCCTTCGGGTTTGTTTTTTCCTCTCGGCTGGAGATAAATTTGGCTCCACTCGAGTCTCTGCCCCTCCTTAGTTGTGCTGGTTTCGGGAGGGGTCGTTCCCTCCCTCCTCCCGTGCTTCCCAGCCGTGCTTTTTGAGTGCCGACGCTTTCCTTGAGCCGGTGGCCGGAGCAGTCAGACCAGGTGTTCCCTACTCCAAACGGGGCAATTGCCCTGCCAAATTCGAGCTGCTCCTCGTCGGACTCTACCCTTGGCACAGCCCTTTGCCGAAAAAGGCACAAAGGGGACGGGGTGGGGCACAGCCCCGCTCCTCGTTCCTGCTTTCGGCTGGAGCGTCAATTCCAAGGAATTTTCTCTCCCTCCAGTCTTTCCCCTCGGATAAGCTGCTGTCGCCAAGCCCCAGCCTAGCCCTGAGTGAAGTCCGCGCGTCCCGATCCTCCCGCAGGTGCCCGATTTGGGGCTCCCCCCATCCGAAGTGACCATGCCAGCTCCGAAGGGATCCCCGGATGTGCGGGACCTCACCTTCAGCCTCTGGGACTACGGAGTCTTCGGGCTGATGCTGCTGATCTCCACCGGCATCGGGCTCTTCCACGGGCTGGCCAAAGGCAGCCAGAAAACCTCGGAAGATTTTTTCACGGGCGGTCGGCAGATGTCTGCGCTGCCCGTGGGGCTCTCGCTGTCCGCCAGCTTCATGTCAGCTATCCAGGTGGTTGGAGTGCCGGCCGAGGCGTTCCGCTACGGGGCCAAGTTCCTCTGGATGTGCCTGGCACAGCTACTCAACACCGTGCTCACCGCCCAACTCTTTCTGCCCGTCTTCTATCGTCTGGGGCTCACCAGCACCTACGAGGTTTGCGCGGAGCGCGGGGAGACATCGCAGGGACCATCCCCGCGGTGGCCCGGTACCAGGGTGGCCCGGTGCCAACGTCGCCCTGACGTCCTCTTTGTCATCGCAGTACCTGGAACGGCGCTTCGGCAGGAGCGTACGACTGTGCGGGACCCTGCAATACGTGGTGTCCACGGTGCGTGTGGCAGGGATGGGGACGGTTTGGGAACGCGGCAGGGGCTCGGAGCGGAGCTGCCCTGAGCCCCTGGGAAGCATCCTCGTTCCCGTGCTCGTGTTTTCCCTGGCTCCGAGTGAGCAGAGCACGGCGGGAGTGCTGTTTTGTGTGAAAACCGCAGTGTTTTGCCAGCCGCGCTTTGGGCAGCATCATCCCCGCCTGCCCAGGGACCGCGATATGACGGGGCGCTGACCCCTCTCTTCCCGCAGATGCTCTACACGGGGATCGTCATCTACGCGCCCGCACTGATCCTAAACCAAGGTATGGGGGCGCGGGGGGGCTGCTTCCTGTCGTGTCCCTGCCTTGGGGATATCTCATCCCTGTTCTACCGCCCCAAGTGACATTTCCCCGCTCAGCACCTTCCCTTCCCCTCCAGTGACCGGGTTGGACATTTGGGCATCTCTGCTGTCCACGGGGGTCATCTGCACCTTCTACACCACCATAGTGAGAAGGGGAAGAGCCGGGGAGGGTCCCGGGGGGGGAGGGGGGGGGCGGGTCCCGGGGGTCCCTGGCGCTCAGCCGCGACTCGGTGTGACACAGGGCGGGATGAAGGCTGTCGTCTGGACCGACGTGTTCCAGGTGTTTGTCATGGTCTCGGGCTTTCTCGCCGTCATCATCCGCGGGGTGCTGCTAGTGGGAGGTCCCGCCAGGGTGTTGACCATCGCTGCCAACGGCTCCAGGATCAACTTCGGAGAGTGAGTCCCCTCACACTCAACCCTGGTAGTGGGGAGGTGCGGACCCCCGCTACCAGGGTGCTGTGGGGTCACTGAGTCCCCCAGCCCATGATGTGCAAACCCTGCTCACCCTGCCCCGGGGATCAGTCCCAGTCCGTCTCATGCCCTGCCGTGGGACTTTGGGGATCAGTGATTCCCCCCACATTGCAGGGTGCAAACCCCATTGCCCCTATCCTGGGGTTCTGGGTGTCCTTTTTCCCCCCAAACCCACAATGTGTGCACCCCTCTCACCCCCTGCCCTGGAATTTTGGGGAATGGTGATCTGCCCCAGCCCAACTCCCCTTTTTCCTGGCATTCTGGGAGGTCAGTGAGTTCCCCAAACCCACAATGTGCAGACAGATCCCTCTCACCCCTACCCTGTTGAGGGGTCACTGCCAGCCCCTCTCACCCTTACTCTGGGTGCCGTGGGGTCACTCCCAGCCGCTCTCATCTCCACCTTGGGTGCTAGGGGATTGGTATCAGTCCCTCACACCCCTCACCCTGGCACCGTGGGGCCATGCCTAGCTTCAGCCTGGACCCACGGAGCCGCTACACAGTGTGGACCTTCCTGCTGGGTGGGACCCTGGTGTGGCTCTCCATGTACGGCGTCAACCAGGCCCAGGTGCAGCGCTATGTGGCCTGCAGGACCGAGAGGGAGGCCAAGATGTGAGTCCAGTGGTGCTTTGGATCCCAGGGATGCTCTGGATCCTGCTCTGGGGGTTGACAGGGGTGAACGGAGGCTCTGGGTGCCGCTTTGTCCCCCCCCCTGTATCCCTGTGTGGCCCCACCACCCTGCAAAGACCCAGCACTGCTGCAAGGACCCTGCATGAACCCAGCAGCCTCTGTGGGTCCTGGACCCTGAATTGACATGAAAACCCCTGCATAGATACTTCACCCCTGCAAGAAGTCTGCAAGGATCCTACAAGGACCCTGCACCCCTGTCTTGCCCCTGCACCACTGCAAAGACCCAACATTCCCAATTGCCCCTGCATGTACCTGTCACCCCTGTACAGATTCTGTATGACCCCTACCCCCTGCAAAGACCTGCCACCCCTTCATTACTCCTGCAATGACCCGTGCCTGGGCCCCCCCTGCCCCAATCCCCCTGTGCCCGCAGGGCGCTGCTGGTCAATCAGGTGGGGCTGTTCTGCATCGTGGCTAGCGCAGTCGCGTGTGGCCTCATCATGTTCGCTCTCTACCGGGACTGTGACCCACTCCTGGCTGGCACCATCACCACTCCTGACCAGGTACTAATCCCTCAGGTGTAGCAGGGGCACACAGGGGGTTGGGATCCCTTGGGGTCCACATCCTTTTCAGCACCCCCAAGGCAGTGGGATGGGAGGATACAGGGGATCACGGTGTCTTGCTGTCCCCCAGGATCGCCCCCCCCCTCCAGCACATCCCAAGAGCACAGGGATTGGAGGCTGAGGGAATCACAGGGAGTTGTGGGGTCCCCTAGGATGCTGCTCCGTTCAGCACCCCCAAGACAGCAGGGTCAGAGGGGGTTTTGAGGTCCCCCAGGATCCTGATCCCTCCAGCCCCCCCTGAAACAATGGTATGGGAGGGTGAGAGGGTCTCAGGGAGTTTTGGGGTCCCCCTGGATGTTCCAACCTCCCTGCAGCCCCCTCCCCCCACAGTACATGCCCTACCTGGTCCTGGACATCTTCGACAGAACACCAGGGGTACCAGGGCTGTTCCTGGCCTGCGCCTACAGCGGAACCCTCAGGTGAGCACCAGGGGACCTCAGGAAGCGAGTGCAACCCCTCTGTCCCCGTGGGGCTGGAGCTGACAGTGCCTCTTTGTGACCAGCACGGCATCCACCTCCATCAACGCCATGGCCGCTGTCACTGTGGAGGACTTTGTGAAGCCACGGCTGCCAGCGCTGTCCCCAAGGAGCTTGATGCTCATCTCCAAGGGGCTCTGTGAGTGCCACTGGCCTGGGGTGGGTCACCCCCAGCAGGCGTGTGTCACCTTGCCGGGCACATGTCATCCCCACCTGGGACATGCCATGCCGTGCCATAACATGCCATGACATCCCATCCCTCTCACCACATCCATCCTATCCTCTCCCATCCCATATTTTTTCCATCTAATCCTATTCTATCCCACCCCATCCCATGCCATCCATTCCACTATCATTCCACTTCCCCTTCCCCTTCTCCATCCCATTCCACCCCATCCCATGGATCCCATTCCATCCTATCCTGACCCTTTCCCATATTCCCACAGCTCTCACTTACGGCACCTCGTGCATCACTGTGGCCGCTCTGTCCTCGCTGCTGGGTGGGGGCGTGCTGCAGGTGAGATTCCACCTCCACCCCAAAACCCCTCACTCTCCCTTTGCCCCCCCAAAACTCCAAATCCCCCAAAATCCCCCTGTGCTGTCACTGCCCACCAGAGTGGGACACAGTGGGAGACAGCCACGCTCTGCTGACACCCAGAGAGCCCTCAAGGAGGTGGGGGTTGGGGCACATGGCCAAGCACCCTCTGGAGCCTCCCCAGACCCATCTCAGCCCCCACTGGAGCTGTGCCACTCACCCCCCAGGGCTCCTTCACAGTCATTGGGGTGATCAGCGGGCCCCTGTTGGGCGCCTTCATCCTGGGAATGTTCCTGCCCCTCTGCAGCACGGCCGTGAGTGGGGGGTTTGGGGTGGGGGGATTTCAGGTGAGGTGATTTTGGAGAGGGGGGTCTGGGCTCCTGTTGTTCTGCAGCACAGCTGGAAGTAGGAGGGGATTTTGGGAATGGGGGATTTTAGGAAGGGCAGGGATCAGGGTTTTGCCCTTCTGCAGCACCTCCATGGGTGGGGGGGTTTGGAATGAGGGGATTTTGGGGAACAGGGTTTGGGGTCCTGTTGCTCTGCAGTTTGGCCTTGAGGGGTTGAATTCTGGGGAGAGGGGATTTTGGAGAGGGGGGTTTCAAGTGGTCCTGCTCTGCAGCATAGCCATGATGGGAAGGGTCTAGGGGGCATTTTGGGGATGGGGGATTTTGGAGAGGGAGGTTTTGGGGTGGGGAGTTCCAAGATCCTACTGTTCAGCATGGTGGATTTTTGCAGGGGGGTCTCCAGGGTCTGTCACAGCCTCACCGGGCCATGCAGACCCTCCCTATCCCATGTCCCAGGGCGTACTGGGGGGCCTGGCCGTAGGCTTCGCCCTGTCCCTGTGGGTGGCTGTGGGGGCCACCCTGTACCCACCTAATGCAGCCACCATGGGGGTCCTGCCCACCTGGGGGACACTGTGTCCCTTCCGCAACAGCACCAACAGCACCACCCTGCCCGGGCCCCCCCTGGACCCCCAGCGGTGAGCGGGGGCTGGAGGGGTGGCGGCTTCTGGTGACATCACAGGGCTTGTCCTGTCCCTTGTGGTGTCACATCCCTATCCTTGTTCCTTCTGATGTCACCGTCATTGTCCTATCCCTAAGACGTCACACCGCTGCCCCTGTTTCCTGTGATGTTACACCTCTGCACCTGTTTGTTGTGATGTCAAACCCTTTTCCTGGTTTGATGTGGCATCAAAGTGCTGTCCCTGTTCCCTGTGACGTCACACCCCTCTGCCTGTTGGCTCAGATGTCACATCACTATCCCTGTTCCCTGTGATACCCCGCCTCTGTCCCCCTTGGCTGTGACAACACATCTCTTTCCCGGTAGACTGTGGTGTCACACTGCTGTCCCTGTGCCCTATGATGTTACTCCCCTATCCCTGTTGTTGGCGCTGATGCCACACCTCTGGCCCTACTCCCTGTGATACCACACTGCTGTCCCCACCTTGCAGCCCGGCCATCCTGGGTGACTTCTACGCCGTATCCTACCTGTACTATGGTGCCCTGGGGACCCTCAGCACGGTGGGGGTGGGGGCCCTGCTCAGCCTCCTGCCAGGTGAGCCAGGATGGTGGCTGTCCCTGTCACCCCCACCATGTCACTCCCTCCTTGTCACACCCTCCCTGTGACCCCCTCCCTTCCCAGCAGGGCCAACCCGGCAGAAACAACGTCCCSAGAGAGTGCTGTGGTGGGACATCGTCAGGGACACACCCTCGGGGATCCCCATGGGAGACAAGGGCCTCGGGGATGAGCCCCCGGACAAGGCCAGAGCTTCCCAGGTGCTGCTGAAGAGGCCAGACAGGGAGGAAACCCCACCATGTGACACCTCCAAAGCCAACGCTGCCACCCAGCCACTGCTGATGCAGGAGAGCGACATGTAGGGGACAGCTGGGAGACACAGGAACCCTGTGGAGACAGGGGCTAGAGGGATGGGGACATGGGGACATGACCCTGTCCCAAATAAAGGAGCAGCTGATACTGGACAGAGCCTGTCTTTGGGGGCTGGTGGAGGGGACACGGAAGGGACACCTCAGGTGACACAGCTAGAACAGGGGGGCGGGGGTGTGGACAGCTGTTGGGCCATGGGGACTCGCCCAGCTAAGCCCCGCCCACTCAGGTGACTGTAGCCGMAACCTGTTAAGCTCCACCCAGCCAGGTGGCAATGGCATACACTGTTAAGCCCCGCCCACCCAGGGAACAATGGGCCCTGCCCTGATGGTTCTGGCAGGTGACAAGAGGCCCCACTCCGACAAGCCCCGTCCACCTAGGGGACAAGGGCCCGCCTGTTAAGCCCTGCCCACCCAGGTGGCAGCGACTCCGCGTTTTCAAGCCAAGACCATAACCCGCGCTTGSCGCCGATCACACTCCGCCCGGTCCTCAGGGCGACGCCATCTTTGAACCGGGCACAGCCGCGGGCGGCGCCGGGTGGAGCGAGCGTTCCCACCCGGATTTTTTCAACCGCGCTGGGAGGGCTGCCATGAGCGAGGTCTTCCGCCTGTCTCTACGACCACGCAGCCGCCGATCCCTCAAGGAGAGAGCAAGGTCGTGCCAAACCGTGCCCTCAACCAGCATGGCGACAGCACGTCCCCAGCACGCCCCCGGCTCTACTGGGGAGGCGCTGGCGCGCGGCGGTGACGAGCTAAGCGCGCGGCGGGCGGGGCTGCGGGGTCCGGGTAGGAGCGGGGCCGCTTCGGGGCCGGGCGGGACTGAGGGGACCGAGCGCGGAATGAGGGGAACGACGGAAACGGAGGCAGCGGGGTAGGGCCGGGGGATGACGGGGCGGGGAGGCCTGGGAGGGCCGCGGGGGCTGGGCCAGGCCTGAGTCCCTTCCCCCCCCACTCAAGTGGAGCCCAGGCCGGATTCAGCACTTTGGGAAGGGTCAGAGGTCAGGAAACGGGATTTTAGTAAGGTTCAGAGGATGTTCTAGGGAASAGAAAGGATTTCATCCATCCCAGATTGTGGAAACCCCGAGAATGCAGCAGCTCTGCCTATGCCATTTTTTTATTTGATAAATATTTATCTGTCTTTAAAATTAAAGAGTCGGACTCCAGAGTGGCCCCACACCTCAAAAGCAGTGGCTTTCCCGATGCCTTGTTCATTTTAAAGCTCCCGTTACTCATGGATTTGACTTTCACGCCCTGGATAACAAATCCAGCCTGTTTTTGTGGGCATTTATCCAAACTGAATGTGTTTCTGTGCTGTTGCATCTACTCTGTGGGATCCCTATGGATCCCCTTGGATAGGGATAGAGGCACCTGAGTCACTTCTTTCTTGTTGCCGAAGATTTTTTAACTTCCACTTGCCTTTTCCTGGGGGGGGGAGGGGCACCCTGAACGTCACCTCAGCCCCACCATCATCACACACCCAGCAAAGGTCTCTGAAATTCTGCAGAGTTTGGGGGGGGGGGGGGGGGGGGGGGCGTGTCCCCCACTGGAATTTGGCGTGGAAGGAGCAGATTCCTTTGGGAGCCAGGATCTGGAAACAGCCTGAAGCTGGGAGAAACCTGGAAGATGAGGGGGGATGGTGCCAGTTTTTTCTTCCCACACGGCTCGGTTTTGGGGATTTTGTCCCCAGAATTCCCAAAATGTTTATGAACGATCTGAATGAGGAGATTGGGGCTCCCTCAGTAAATCCATGGATGACTCCAGGAGGGCAGGAAGCTCTGCAGGGAGATCTACCTGGATTTGTGGAATCCGTGAGATTCAGCTGGATGAGATAGAGTATCTGGATAACTGGGCAAGGTCCTAGAGATGCTGAACACAAGCCCAGAAGGCCAAGTGGTCAAACCCAGGGTGGCCACAGTGACTGTCCACAAATCCAGTGTCTGATTCTCAGTCCTTGCAGCCAGAGGGGCTGGAGAGTGTCCAAGGAAGGGAGCAGAGCTGGGAAGGGGCTGGAGAATTCCTGAGGGAGTTGGGAAATGGGCTCAGCCTGGAGAAAAGGGGGATCGGGGGCAAATTCCCAATCTCCACGAGTCCCYGGGGACAGGAGGGGTCGGGCTCTGCTCCCAGGGAACAGCGGGACAAGAGGGAACAGCCCCAAGCTGTGCCAGGTGGGACATTGGGAGGAATTTCCTCATGGACAGAGTGCTCAGGGGCTGGAACTGCCCAGGGACGTTTGGAATGTTGAAGGATGGGATCTCCAAAACGCCAGACATAGTGTGGATATCCAGGGGTTGGAACTGTCCACACCTGGGTGACCTTGCGGCTCATTCTCAACTTGTTATTCCATAAAAAAAAGCCACCCAAAACTGCATCTAGAACCTGCTTGTCCTTCTTCCCCAGAGCATCTTGAGGGATGCCCAAGAAGTTCCAGGGGGAAAATACCAAATCGGCCGCGGCCCGAGCAAGGAAAGCCGAGGCCAAGGCGGCGGCCGATGCCCGGAGGCAGCAGGAACTGGAGGATGCTTTTTGGAAGGATGAGGACAAACACGTCATGAGGAAGGAGCAGAGGAAGGTAAGGCTTYCCAAACCCTGGGGAATCGTGGATTCTCATCCCATGTGTAAGTCTGGGGAGAATTCTGGGATTTGGGAGTGGGAGTTATGTAATTCCTACATCCTGTGGATCTCAGAGATCCCAAAGGAGGCACTCAAAGCTTTTTGGGAGAGCCTTGAAACGGGATTTATTTACAGGAATTCTCCAGCAGGATTGAAATGCACCTGCGTTTCCTTTGGCTCCTTTTTATTCCTTCTGCTCCTTCAACTCCATTTTATTCCCTCTATTCCTGTTTCCTCTTGCATTTTAGAGGACAAAAAAACAGGATCAGCATTGAAAAGCTGCTTATATTCCCATCCTGAGTTTGCTCTTCCTGACATCAGGAATGTTTCTGTCCTGAGATTCCCTCTTGGTTTGCCCTTCCCTGGGTCCTCATTTCACTTGGAGTGATACTTGGGAATTTTTTTTTGTTATTTAGTTGCATTTTAGCGTGACACAAATTGCTGTCCTGGTTCATGGGTTTTCCTAGGAAAACTTAGGAATAACTTGGCTGAATTCCTCTTGAATTTTCCCTGTATTCTTGTACCAGCCAGGTGACAAAACCAGGATTTTTGGATTCGTGCTGTTCTCAGGACCTCAGTCCCCTCCCTTGTGGAATTCATTCCTAATTTGTGCCCTGGAATCTGGAGTCCCATGGGCCGTTCCCAATACCATAATTCCACCCTAATTGCTTCCCAGAACAAGGAATTGTTGCAGCTGGATTTAAGGTTCTGACCAATTTGTGCTTCCCAAAGCAGCCTCCAGGAGCTTGGAAATGTACTGGGAGCTGGGATTGCTGGCTGGGAAACAATCCCAGAGCCTCTGGATTTTAGGGGATCTGATTTTCCCATGTCCCCTCTCCCGGTGGCACACAACCCCAAATTCCAGGTCTGAATTTCACCCAAATCCTGGGTTTTGGTGTTTTTTCTTTGCACAAAMCAAAATTTTCCTGGGTATATTCAGCAAAAACTCCGCTCAGGTGTCCAAGAAATTCTGCCTTTTCCTGTCCAGGTGCTTTTCCTGCTGCAGCAGATGGGAATGAATGGGAGATAAAAGAGGGAAAGCCTTCTGGCCTGCTTCTCCAGTGCCATCCATAAGGAATATCCCCTTGAAAAACAGGAGGAGCTGCATCCCAGCCGGAAAAGGCTCAGATTGGGAATGGCTTTTTTCTCTCTCGGATGAGGCTGGAGAAGCCAAAGCATTCCCAGGAGTCATAATTCCCTGAATTTAGAGGTGGATCCATGGAACAGGGAGGGATCTGTGGCACTGGGATGTAGCACCTGGAGGAGGCAATGGAGAGACCAGGAAAGATCCCAAATCAATCCCTCAGGCTCTGGAATTCCTTAAATCCCTGCCTTTCCTGCTGGAAGGGCCATGCCTGATCCCATTCTCAAGCTGTGCTGATCCCACTCAGACACGCTCCGGGGCAGTTCTGCCCCATTCCCTTCCCAACTGCGTCATTTCCCCACATTCCTTTGCCTTTCCAGGACCTCTCCAACCTTTGCAGGGCCTCTCCTGCAGAGCTGGATCAGGAATTCATGCTCCATCTCACTGCTACATCCATGTGCATTCCTGTGTCTGCTCCTGGGAACCAGCTCAGGTGGTTCCCTGTAAAAGATGGAATCTCACCTTTAAGCACAAAATTCCTTGAGAAGGGGCATGTCCAGCTGAAGGAATTCCACCCCTGCTGCTCCACCCCACGGGTCTTGAGGGAGAAAAGGATTCATTTCCCTCCCAGTTTTCCGTGATTTTCCCACCATGTTTCATATGGACAAAGCAAAACTTCTCCTTCATCAGGATTTTTAAGCCAATTCCCAAACGATTTGGTGAGACCGGTGGAAAATCTTCCCAAAAAAAAAAAACCAAATTTGCACTCCCCAGGTTTTGGGATTGGCTCTGAGCTGCTGCTCCCATTCAAGGGAATGAGGGAGAGGAAGGAAAACTCTGAGATCTGAAGCAGAGGAGGAAGATTTTTTGGGAATGCTTGTGGACTCAACCTTTACTCTGGGTGGGAGAGGCTGCACAGGAAAGCAGCAGGGAAGGAGAGCCGGAGTTTGCAATTAGGATTTACTCTGGGATACAGTCCCAATTCCCAAGGATGCTGTGGCTCACAGCTCTGGACTCAGAAATTTGGGAAGTGACGGGTTGGAATCAGGCTTTTATTCCAGTAAAGGCTTTTCCCACATTTGGGTTGGAACAGTGAGGCTTCCTTGACTCCCTCCTTCCSTTCTTTCCCTCCCTCCCCTTTACCCTCTTTCCCACTTTTCCTCCTTTCTCCCTCCTTTTCCTCCTTCCCTCCCTTTCTTTCCTTGGACATCCTACCTGGAGCTGGAATTTTCCCAGCTCAGTGAAGGTGTCCAGATCACCAGTTTCCACCCTGTGCATCCTTTTCCCCCTTTCTCATTCCCTCTCCTCCTTCCTGTCTCCCCTATTCCCCTTTTTTTTTTTTTTTTTTTCCCTAGACTTTGGCAGACTTTTTCCCAGACTCAAAGCCAAAGCTTTGAAAGCCCTCAAGAGCCTCTTGGCTGGACAAAGTGGTTCTCCCAGTCCTTCTGGAGCACTTCCCATTCCTATCTGTGCTCCTGGAAAGGTTTGATCCCTCAGGAAGCTCGGTAGTGAGCCGATCCTTTATCCCTTTCCCAGGAAGAGCGGGAGAAGCGGCGTCTGGAGCAGCTCGAACGCAAGAAGGAGCTGCAGCGGCTCCTGGAAGAGGAGGATTCCAAGCTCAAAGGGAAAGCTCCCAAACAAGGAAATCCGGGGAAAGTCACCAGGGCCCAGATTGAGGAGAGCATCCGGAAAGAGCAGCAGCAGAAGGAGACCACCGATGCAGGTTTGGGAATGCTATGGGAAAAGCCCTGATGCCTGTGGGGAAATGGGATGGAGAGCTGCTCCTTTCCCACCCTCTATGGCTGGAGGAGAAATGTTGTGAAAAAGCAGGAATTCCCAGCTTGGAATCCCAATTCTCAAACTTGAAAAGGTGGCTCGGGGTATGCCAGAGTCACCATTCCCTGGAAGTGTCCAAAAAAATATAGATGGGGCAGTTGGGGGATGTGGTTTAGTGTTAGATTCATGGTTGCATTCGATCCTAAAGCTCTTTCCCAACCTTTACAATTCCATGATCCCATTCCTGTGCTTCCTGCTTTGCTGCATCCAAATCTAACACCAGAACGTGGGGAAAATTCCTGGCAATTCAGGGTGAGCCTTGAAAACTGAGTTTTCCAGAGGGAAACCCTTCTCCTGGGCTGGACTTGATGGTTCTCCCATTTTCCCTGGGCAGTGGAGAAGGAGAAATCCCACCTGGAATTGCCCCTGGAGGAGAACCTCAACCGGAGAGTGCTGGAGGAGGGCTCAGTGGAGGCCAGGACCATTGAGGACGCCATCGCTGTCCTCAGGTGCGTGGMCCTGATCCCAGGTGATGACTTTCCCTAGGGAATTCCTGGTGGATAGCCCCCTAAAATGGGTGGGGTTTCACCCTTGGAGTTTCTATCCTGACAACAAATCCGGAGATTCCAGGAGGAGGGGTTGGAGTGGGATGAGGAGGTGCCACCTCATGTTGTTTCTCTGCTCCTGAGGACATATGCATCAGGAGGGGGCCATTTTCTTTGGGACTGGGGTTATCCCTGGGTCCGTTTCTTTCGGGATTTGGGCTATCCCTGGGGCTGTTTCCTTCGGGATTGGGGGTTATCCCTGCTCTCCCTGTATCCCTGTATCCTGTCTGGCAGCGTGTCCCAGGACGCGGAGCGGCACCCGGAGCGCCGGATGAAAGCCGCCTTTGCGGCCTTCGAGGAGCTGCACCTGCCCCGCCTGAAGCACGAGAATCCCAACATGCGCCTGTCCCAGCTCAAGCAGCTCCTCAAAAAAGAGTGGATGAAGTCCCCAGAGAATCCCATGAACCAGAGGCACAAGGCTTATAACAGCCAAAAGTAGGACTGGAGCTGCTCCTTCCCACTCCAGACTGGGATTCTCCTGGAAAATGGGAAACTATGGGAAAATTCTGCTCCTCAGGTTTCCCTTCCCTGTCCCTRCATTTTCCGAAGATTTCAGACAAGCTCAAGGCCAGCGTCCCTGCCTGGGGGGTCGGACTAATGCCACCCTCACCTTCCCAAAAGCCAGGTGTTCCCAGACAAAAGCAGTTCCTGACTTGCTTCAGGCAGCCCCAGGAGCCTGCAAAGCTGTCCCCGCRTTGGAATTCCAGAGCCATCACGTGCCTGGCCTCGGTTCCCAGAGTGTCATCCTTGGTGTCCCTTAAGAGATTCCCGGCTGGCATTGCTGTTCCAGCTGCATCTCTGCTCTTCATCTCCATCCAAACAGGAGCAGGAGGGTTATGAAGAGAGAAAATTCCCTTCCCCCAGGGAGGAATGGGAAAAGCCCCACCCCCACCTGATTCCCATCTTCTCCGGGGGGCACTGGGGACAGGCATCTCCAGGTGACATTCCCAGTGTCCCCTGGCACAGGAGGTTTCCAGGAGGGGCTGGAGCCCCAAATCACCTGGAGAAGGGAAGCTCCTACTTTACTCAATTCCATTTTCCCCTCCCTGATTCCAGGGTCAGGCTGGGAGGTGCCGTGGGAGCCTTGGGAAGGGGAGGTGACACCAACTGTGACACCAACTGTGCCACCAACTGTGCCACCTCTGATCCTCAGGAGGAGAGGGATGAGCTCCCTTGGGAATGCTGTGTGAGCTTCCTGAGCTCCTCCGGAAATGCTGGAATCCTTGGGAATGGAATCCTACCCTCCCATCCAGCAGCTCCCCAGCCTTTCCCTTTTTCTTTTCCCATCCTTTGGGAAGGAAATGCCTTCCAAAGAATAGGTTTCATCCTGCCCTGAGGGTACTGCGGTGCTTCTCAAAACTCATGGCACACTCCTGGCCCCAAATCCCGTGGGTTTGATTCAGGCTCATCCCTTGGAGTGACACTTCCAAGCCCACACCTTCATTTTGCAGCCCCCCTCAGCACCCCCCGGGCTGGTCCTTGTCCCTCCAGCATTCCTAAGTCCAGCTAGGGATGAATGACCCCCCACCCCAGCTCAGGTCCCCTTTCTGCGAGAGTTGGATGTGTTTGAATCAAATTAAAATTTAAAAAAACACCACAAATTCCTCTTTATTTGGGGAAGGAATAATATGGGAAGGGCTTTGGGGAGATTCTTTTCCTGCCATGCCCAGCGGGGGCTGTTTTATCCCTTAAACTCTGGAAAATCCCACTGGAATTGGGGATGGGATTCCTACCTGGATTGGGGGGGGGGGGGGGTTGTCTCTCAGTGGGGAGGATCCCTGGGGTTTGTGACCACCCCAGATTTCTAAGGAGCTCTGGGAATAACAATGTGAGTGTGTGTCTCACCTCCCATCCCATGAATTCCCTCCTCCCCTCATTCCTGGGGTGTCCTCTCCCTCTCTGTCTCCCACCCTCTCTCCCCACCCCGTGGCGCGGAGGCTTCGGCTCAGCCCTTTGTGCGGCAGATCCCCCGGACCCCTCCCCTTCCCATTCGTCCTCCCCCTCTCCCCCACCCCAGCACTGCGGCAGTGCCGGGTGTCCCGTCGCCGACGGGGAGGAACGGCGGGGACGTGCCTGCAGTGCCAGCACGGGGTGGGGGGGGGGGCGCGGGCTGCGGCGGCCGGGACCCCTCCGAAATCAGCCGCAGCGGAGCAGGGGAGAAGTAGGGGACCCTAAGACGTTAATGCGCCCCYCCCCCCCCCCCCCCCCSCTTGAGGAAAGGGGAGTTTGGGGAATCCCTTCATGCAAGAGGGGTTCTCCACTGAAGGGATTAAAGGGGAGAGTCCCCCAGCCAGTGCGGGATTAATGGGGGATCCCGCGGTGGTCCCGGTATCCCACCCACCCCCCAGCAAAGTGGTTACCGAGGGAATTCCTCGCCCCGCCCCCCTAGGGGATTCCCCCCCCACCGCTTTTTCCATCCTGGAGGAGGGGGGCCGCGCTCGCTTGGGGGTGGGCATTGCCCCGACAAACGGCAAGGGAACGGGGGACGACATGCGCCGGCGGCGGTCACGAGGCCCTGGGATTCTCCCGCCGCCCGCGCAGCCGCGCGGGGCTTGCACCGGGCATCCCCACCCCGTCCCTCCCCCGCACCGGGCATTCCCCCCTCCCCCGCGCTGGGTATCCTCCTCCGCACTGGGCATAACCCTCCGCCCCGGCACTGGGCATCTTTCCCCCATACTGAGCATCCCCACCCTTCCCCGCACCGGGTATCCCCCCAGCACTGCGCATGCCCCCCGGCCCCCTCCCCGGGCATCCCACTCCCATCTCCCCTCGCACCAGGAATCCTGCCTTTTCTGCACCAAGTGGGCATTACCCCCGCCCCAATCACCGGGTATCTTCCCCCCATTCCCCTCCCCCCGGGAATCGTGCCCCCCCTACCGGCTTTTCCCTCCCCCTCGTCCTCTCCCCCCCACAATGCCGACCTCCCCACTCGCCCCTCCCGGCACCGCCTCCGGCCCTCCAACAGGGAACCCCCACGCCCTTCGCCCCCTCCGGATATCGCGCCCTCCGCGACTCCCCGCATCTCCGGACTGGGGAACCACAGCCGGGTAGGGACAGGGACAGGCGGACGCACGTGTGTCACCCCCCTCCACACGCCCCCGCACACCCCTTGCACACACAGTTCTGCTCACACTTCCCTGTGCACTCCTGCCCTGTGCACACCCTGCTTTGCACAACCCTCCTTGCACATCTCCTCCAACACCAATGTTGCGAATCCGCTGTTCACACCCTTGCACACTCCATTTCACACCTCTATTCACACCTCTGTGCACATCCCCATGTTCACATCTCTCCTTGCACACCCCATGTTCACAGCCCAAGTCCCACCCCTCCCTGCGCACTCCAATTCACACCTCGTACACACCACACTTTGCACCCCGTTTTTTGTTCCCCGCAAACGTCAGCTCCTGCTCCCCCCTAAATCCCCACCCACACACCGTGAAAACCCCACTGTGCATGCTCACCCACACACCCCCGCTCTTTGCACACGCCTGTGCCCTACATCCCCAGGCCTGCGTGGCATCACAAAGGAGCGAGAGGGGACT